CAAGTATTTGATATTCTCTTTTGGGTATGAATGTTTCTTTTCGGACACAATAATTAATTTTTATAGAACTCCATGCTTATCTATTTTATCAAATGTATCTATCTTTATAACTTAATGATCAAGTTTTGTTATTCCATAATTTTAAATTTCATTTCAAGTAATATCTATATAGAAGTAAGTATGTCTGAATGCTTTACATTTTGTTTGTTTTACATTCGATAATTTTTCAATCATATTGAAACACTTAGCTACATGTAAGTCTACAAATTTTTACCTATGCGCGGCTCTCAAAACCATTGAGTAGTGAGGGATCGTTTTGTGCAAGCACATACTGCGACATGGGATTTCGGTTTATATGGTCTCATCAAAAGAGTTTATCTCCAAATGCATCCCACAGGATTCGAACCTGCGACGTAAGGATCAATTAACACCTTACGCTGAATCTCTAGAGCAAACTATTTTAACAAATGCGCCACGCGAGTGAGACTTAAAGTTTGTGATTTTGATTTGATTCAAATGTAATTAAAAATCAGACATAGTTTAACGAGCTACTACAAGAAAAAAAAATAGTTGTAATCATGAGGAACGATCTTTCTCACAGATCGATCATTGGGATTATCATACCATTGTGTCCGTGCATACGCATGTATTCATTAATCTTAACTGTTTTAATTATATAATAAAATCAAATGATACATTTTATAAGGTAATACTGCAATACAAGTACACACACATTTTTCAAGTTCAGATTTGGTGTTGTACATGTGACCAACTAAATGCTGATAACTTCATGAAATTAATGATGCAAAATTAATGTCATTTGAAATTGTGTGATCGAATATCAACAAACTTTAATGCTATTATTTTTTCCCTTTACCAACGTAAAAAAAAATGAATTGCATGTATCTGGTCTGACAAAAAATTTCCAGTCTAACAGATCATTTTACTTGTCAGAGCAAATAAATATTTTCTGCAGTGTTTTTTTTAAAAAAAAAAAAAAAAAAAAAAAAAAATTTTAGAAACGTTCTGTCTCTTTATTGCTGAAACAAATTGAATTAGCGTTCCTGTCCTTACATCTTTGTTTACGTCTCTATATTTAGACAATCGCGTCATTGTCAAACCAGTTAGACCAGTTGTTGCTCCTTGGATGACCTAGCACTTTTTGTAATGGAGTGTAGTGGAGTCAGCCGAGGATTGCCGAATGATAAATGACGGAAATCAAAATTCAGTGTCATTTCTCAAGAAAGATGACAAAAATATGCTATTCAAATTAAGTTAAATAAAATTCTATTTCATTTACTTTCAAATCATTTATGAAAATTAGATTAATTCAGAAAAATGAGATGGACTATTTTTATTGCGGAAGTTTCTTCGAGTTTATATAGGCTGGTACTAGTTTGTATTGAATATCACAGGGGAGTAAATTGGGTGACACAGAAACACCACGACGGCCGCTATATGATTCATTGTAAAATTACTGCGCTAGAAACTGCGTGACAGCCTAGGGAGTCTGAACATAGTTCAACTCCCAATTAAGGCCTTTCATAATGTAAAAAAAGAAATGAGAAATGTCCGATTATTTTCGATTATGAATCGACACGGAGTTTTCGATTCGATAATCAATTGTATTTTTAGCTCACCTGAGCCGAAGGCTCAAGTGAGCTTTTCTGATCACATTTTGTCCGGCGTCCGTCTGTCCGTCTGTCTGTCTGTAAACTTTTCACATTTTCGACTTCTTCTCAAGAACCGCTGGGCCAATTTCAACCAAACTTGCCACAAAGCATCCTTGGGTGAAGGGGATTCAAGTTTGTTCAAATCAAGGGCCACGCCCTCATTCAAGGGGAGATAATTGGCAATTAATGAAAATTTGGTGGCATGTTTTAAAAATCTTCTTCTCAAGAACCACTGTGCCAGGAAAGATGAAACTTATGGGGAATCATCCTCAGGTAGTGTAGATTCAAGTTTGTTCAAATCATGACCCCCGGGGGTAGGGCGGGGCCAAAATGGCCAACCAAAGTTTTACATAGAAATATATAGGAAAATTCTTTAAAAATCTTCTTCTCTAAGATAGAAAATCCATGATTGTTCATGGGACTACTTTTGGATTTTACCTTTTCAATAATAAACCAATTTATACTTTGCCTAGCCACAGTGCTCAGGTGAGCGATGTGGCCCATGGGCCTCTTGTTCCTCCGATTCTGAAACAGTAATTAAAATACATTTTTCATAAGAACCACTTAGCCAAAAAAGCTTAAACTTATATGGAAGCATCCCAGGGTTGTGTAGATTCTAAATTGTTCAAATCATGACCCCCAGGGGTAGGGCGGGGCCACAATAGGGAATCAAAGTTTTACATAGAAATATATAGGAAAATCTTTGAAAATCTTCTTCTCTAGAACCACTGGGCCAGAAAAGCTGAAACTTATGTGGAAGCATCCTGGGGTAGTGTAGATGTAGATTCTAAATTGTTCAAATCATGACCCCTGGGAGTAGGATTGGGGCAACAATAAGGAATACAAGTTTTACATAAAAATTTATAGAAATTTTTTTTAAAATCTTCTTCTCAAAAACTACTGGGCCTGAAAAGTTGAAACTTATGTGGAAGCATCCAGGGGTTGTGTAGATTCTAAATTATTCAAATCATGATCCCAGAGGGTAGGGTTGAGCCACAAAAGGGAATCCAAGTTTTACATAGAAATTTGTAGGAAAAAACTTTAAAAATCTTCTCAAGAACCACTGGGCCAGAAAAGCTAAAACTTATGTGAAAGCATCCAGGGGTAGTTTAGATTTTAAATTGTCCAAATTATAACCCAGGGGTAGGGTGAGGCCACAATAGGTATTACAAGGGGGAAATTTGGTAAAGAACAGGCATGGTCAAAGCTACTCAGGTGAGTGATGTGGGCCATGGGCCTCTTTTCGTTCCCCTTCTATGCTTATGGATATTAAGTATGCATATTTATGATGAGCAATAGTGCCTCTTTCAAATTTTTGAATGTCATGTCCTCTGGTTTAAAACATATGAGCCAAATTCAATGGTTAGAAAGTTGTTGCATGATGCTGAGGTGACCTATACATACCTTATTACTTTTTTTTTTAAAAAAATACTGACAAGATATTTTTATGTAAGAATATACACTGATACTTAATTTGGTGAGAATTTATAGACTATATCTGCTTTTTTTCCTTGTCCTCCCCAATGACCTTAAAATTTATCTATAAAACTTACAGAAACTGTTTTACAATTTTTCATTAAACTAATACATTAATTCTAATCATATGTCTCATTAATAATGAACCTTTGGCTTTAGGCCTATGATGAAAAAAAACAAAACAATGAGATAGTCGAGAAAAGGCAAACATAGATTGAGATTATGAAAAATTCTGTAACTTACATGGAAGTATTCTGAGAAAGTTTAAGACACTGAGGGTCAGGTTGGGGCCGATCTTAAAATCTTCTCAACAACCACGGAACTAGATAAGGTAAAAGGTTTGTGAAAGCTTCCCATGAAAGTTTAGATTCATGGACACAGGGGTATAATGAGGGGCAACGATAAAGGATAAAAGATTTTTAATATTTATTTTCAAGAAATGCTGGATTAGAAAAGATGAAACTTAAGTGTACGCTTCCCAAGAAAGTGTAGATTCTCAATTATTCAAATTATGATCATGACTCTTTGGGGTAGGGTTTGGTAACAAAATAAAAGATAAATGTTTTACATTTAAGTACGAGGGCCGTTCAAAAATTACGCGGACTTGTTGCACAGAAAAAATACTTGACAACATAATCGGACAAAATGTCACACACAATATAAAAGAGTCTTTACTTATATGGTCTTCAAAATTTTATATCAAAATGGTGTAAATTGGTATCAATTTTGAGTGATTTATCAGGACATATCACTGAGTCAGGGAACAGCAAAATCTTCAACGTCACAGACATTATAGAAAAAAATTGTGATTGAGCTTTTATTTTTTAAAGATTTTCCCAAGAGTACCTGTACAGTTTGAGTTACCTAATATCTACTCAACATCCAAACACCATTTTTTGTCATGCTTAAAATCTATTAAACAAGTAAAGAATATTCTTTTTTATGATTTAAAACCAAAAACTGGAGGTATTAATGAGATAAAGTGTGATATTGATGACTCAATCACGTTCTTTATGGTCTGGATAAAGGTTTCGTCGATAATCTTCCCATCCTCCCTTATAGCCTTCTTGCAGAGGTCTAACGGTCTAAAATTTCATTTTGCTATTTGTGGACGAATGTCACAAATACCCTAGTTTACTACATGTTTTATTATGCATATTTGGGATCTATGTTGGCGATATCTCGTGCATTACACATGATTTAACAACAGTATAGTGCGCCGTCAATTCAGGAGACGTCATTTTCACGGGAATCGCATCGGAGAAAAAATCACTATATATTCTGTTAGGACTTAAACTATTATGTCAGAAATCTAAATACATAATGATAGAACAATTTAAAAATACATTTGAGAAAATTGTCGAAAAATATCGCGAATTATAGAAAGTTAATGAGTTAAATTTTGGATTTCGCATGCTTTTGCTTAAATTTTTTTGTTGTGCTCCATACCTCTCCATCAGCGATATCAAAATACCGATAATTTTCGTAGAATTTTTTTGAAAAACAGAAATTTTGCCCAAAATTTATTGGAATCTTTTAGATACGTTTTTCTGTGAAATTTCATATTAACTATATGATGTCTGTAAGAGTAAATAATAGCACAGTCCGCGTAATTTTTGAACGACCCTCGTTTGTAAGAAAAATCTATCAATATCTTCTATTTTGTATGGAAGCATTCTCTGGTAGTTAATTCAAATTATGACCCTAATATTAGGAGGGGAAATACATTGAACAGCAGGTCCATATTTTCTCAGATGAGCGTTGTGGCCCATGGGCCTATTGTTGTATAATTGAAGTCTTGTGACATGATGAAACTTGATGATTAATTCTTTTTTAATTTCATGTTTTTAGAATGACTTTCCTATTTTTGAATTTGTCACTGGAGTTGTAATGTGTCAGGAAACAGTATTCGACTTCTCAAAGGAAGAAATTTGTCAGAAAATAGAAGATGCAGGATGCAAAATAGAGAAAGACAGAAACTCTGTATTGCTTATACAAGGGAGCTTATCACAAATTATTGAAGCAAACAGAAAATTATCTGTTAAAGGGAAGAAAGGGGAACATAGCTCATCAGATATGATAAACTATGTTATCAATATCCCTATGAATGAAAGGGATTACAGAGCATTCCTTTACTTTGCAGACCAACACAGCTGGTTTAAAAAAGTAGCTAATGTTATTCAGTATGTTGAAGATGCTTTAGTTTGCACTTTGCCTGCTGATGAAGGCAAATTCACCGAAGAAAAGATGAAAGAGGAATTAAAATATGTACAAATGATGAATTCTGATATCATTATGACAAAGAACAAAGACATTAATATTCAAGAGATAAAAGAAGAAATAAGACAGAAGAAGCCAAATGTCTTTCTTTTACATAGAGAGGATAGCGTTGAAATAATTTGTGAAAGTTATACTGAACTGTTAGAAGTGAAAGGTTTGTTGGATCAGAAATTGTCCGGTAAAGTTAACAGAAGGGCAGGACGTAAGTTTGCAAAGACCGAATCTGCAGAAACAGCTGCAGATAGTGATGTGTATAGGAGAAGATTCAATTCTGAGGAAGGATTTCACACAACATCTAAGTCTGAAAATGACACTAACAGGCTAACAAAGGTTGAGTTGAAGACTCCTGAGGGTTTAGAGATAAAGATATACAAAGAAAGTATTATCCACTTAAATGTGGATTGCATTGTCAATGCTGCAAATGAAAATCTTTGGCACGGAGGAGGAGTTGCTGCTGCGATATCAGATGCGGCAGGCTATGCATTTGATGAAGAAAGCAAGGACTATATAAGAAGGCATGGCCCTATACCAGTAGGTACATGTGTTGAGACATCCGCTGGCAAGCTACCCTATAAGTATGTGATTCACACAGTTGGACCAAGATGGAGTGACTATCCTGACAAAGATCGTTGTCTACGTGATCTCTGTGAGTCTGTAGAGGTCACATTTAGAAAGGCAGATGAGTTGGGGATGAAGTCAATTGCATTACCAGCCATTAGCTCAGGTAAATGTCTAAATATTTGAGTAGAATGTAGAATTTACACTTTTGATTTATTTTTTCAATATCAATAGATTACGAACTTAATATTTACATTAGAATTATAAGACTACTGTATACAGGGAAATTTTTGCCCCTGTTAAATTTTCGCCCCTTTCGCCCTTGTCGGAAGTGGAAGAATTTAAAATGGTACGAATTTAAAGTAAACAGTATAATATCTTAAACAAAAATCTTTCAGGGCGAATTTAAAACAGGGCAAACTTGTTTCCAAATGTGAAAGGGTGAAAACAACCCTGTATACAGTATTAGAGTTGACCTCTAAATAATTATGTATTGTGCAGACAATTGTAAAAGCAAAAATTTTAAATTAAAAAAGCTACTATGATTAGAAGTTGCCAGGTAAAATGGCAAATACCATGGAACAGAAAATTATGAATAAACTGAATAATTTCTATGTTCTGATTGGCTGCAATCCAACATTGTTAAAAGAAATACTATGATATTCATTAAGAAGTATGATATATTAAAATTTTAAACTTTTATTTTTTTTCTTTTCTATTTTTAAATTGTTAACATTAATTGTAAAAATGAATTTTATTATTTATTTCATGTAAGTTAAAAAAGATGGATAAAAAATCCTTTCAGGAATATTTGGTGTCCCTGGAGATAAATGTGTAGAGCAATATTACAAAGCAGTGATAACATTCAGCAGACGTTATCCCTTTCGGAGTCTCAAAGAAATCCACTTTGTTGACAGAGATCCATCCATGGTCAGTGCCATACAAGCAACATTCCAACAAAAAACTTCTTCTTCCTGCTATAGTACTACAGGGTCCTCAGAAGCACCAGGCAGCGGGGAGACATTACCACCAGATGACAAAAAAATGTCATCAACTCATGGAAGCCAATTAAACAAACAGGCATCAACTGCTGATTCCATTATCAAAATATCAGATATGCTTACAATCAAAGTTCATCTGGGAAATATTACAGATGTGACAACAGACATTGTAGTTTGTCCTCAAGATGAATACTGCTCATCAAGAGGCCAAGTTGCCAGAGGAATTTTGAATACGATTCCTTCACAGTCTGAAAGTCCAAGTTGTGGAAGAAAGAAAATTGGTCAAATTTTGATGCAAAACATTTTTGGAAATTCTCCATGGAAGATGATCATTCATGCTGTTACACCAAGATGGAACAAAGATTCAGCAAAAGACCCAGGGAACTTTGAAAGAACATTGAATATAATGATCCAAGAAATTATAAAAAAAGCAGATGAGTTAAAGTACTTTTCCATAGCTGTTCCACTCTTAGGTGCAGGTAAAAAATATACTCTCATTTATATTTCTCTTTTTATTTCGCCAGAATCACTCAGTTGATCTATTGCAATCTGTTTTTATCCTTCAAAATGCATCCTTTTTTTGTTGTAAACTTTTGAACATTTTCATTTTCTTCCTCAGACCGCTGAACTCATTTCAAACAATTTCAGTAAGAAGGTCACCATGACCTAATTCTATTTTTTAGACTTATTTTGAGAATTTCCAATGATAATTGGCTTAGAATTTTAAACTAAAGTCCCCAATTTGTCAACTTAAAGAAGGATCAGCACGACTTACTTTGTGAATTTTGTGGTTTATTTAAAATATTTCTGAATCTTCCTGATTGACAATATCTATTTGGTTTTTGGAGATCAGGTCTTCCAACAATCTGTTGGAATCCCCATGGGTACCAAATGCACTCTGTTATTAGCATACCTATTTTTGTTTTCATATGAAGCAGATTTGTGCAAAATGTTAAGGGTGGAAAGAAAAAAACACTTGATGAGGCCTTCAACTCGACATTTAGATATATCGATGACGTTCTGTCAATTAACAATGGTAATTTCCATTCCTATGTCGATGGTTATATTCTGAGGAGATTGAGATAAAAGATACCACAGAGTCGGACACATCTGTTTCATGCTTGGATATTTTACTTGAAAAAGACGTTAATGGTAATCTTAGAACCAAGGTTTATGATACAAGTGATGAGTTTAACTTTACTATCGTCAACTTCCCTTACTTATGCAGCGAATATACCTTCATCACCTGCATACGGAGTTTATGTATCTCAGTTGATTCGATATGCAAGAGCATGCTCTATGTATGAAGAATTTCTAAAACTAGGTAAATTATTGACAAACAAGTTGATGAAACAAGAATATCAGCAGTCTTGTTTAATGTCATCATTTCGTAAGTTCTATGGTCAATACAATGACCTTGTCAGTAAATACAATTTATCATTGAGTCAAATGCTGTCTGACGTTTTTCATACTTGTTAGTCAATTATTTTTACACTGAATTGACGACGGATTTTTCTGTTATTTTCCGATCATGACGAGGAGCACACGGCGGGTGTGACCGGTCGGCAGGGGATGCTCACTTCTCCATGGCACCTGATCCCACCTCTAATGTTTTGGAGGTCTGTGTTTGCTCTGCTCCTGTTTTGTATTGTTTTATGGACTTTTGATCTTGATCAAATTTTGTCAATAGATGCATCCTTTAAAGTGCAAGCTGTTAGTCAGACAACTTGCTATATAATTAACTTTTGAATTTCCTGACTATTTTAAAAAATATTTTGATGTTAATTGGTTAAGTTTAACACAATTCCTGAATATTTCAAACATTGAGGGGCTTAAGATTTTCATGATTACATGTATTAAACCTTGTCATGTGTTGCATTTTGGAAGTGTTAACAAGAAAGTATTGTACAGTGTCATAGTTGGAATTTAAAGCTTTGTACAATATTTTTTAAAAAAGAATGAGGCTTAGAATCTTCAAACTTTGTCAGTTCATTCATCTGGAGTCCTTGGAATATTTAAACTAAGAAGTAGGTCTCAAGTGTCCCACTCTGAAAGTTTCATGGCTTAATTTATCTGAATATTTAAGATATCAAGGGGCTTAGAATCCTCAAACTTTGTCAGCTGATGCAACTTATGTTCTTAGAGAGTTTCAAGGCTATATCAAAGTATATAGGTTACTAATCGGCTTAAAATGGAAATATTTACATACAGTGTAATTTTCTTCATGAAATCCATTAGAAATCCCTATGTTTAAATTTCACCTTTATTTCCTCGCAATATTAGTTTGCGTTATTTAACTTCGCAACATCACAAACAGCTTTTACGTCTATTAAGCACACCAGTTTTGAAGGGCGCGAAATTCACATGAAAGATTAATGAAATAAACAATTATGAAGAGGGAAAATTAGAGAATGTAAATATAAGCATTGAATTCATATTTTTGGATTTTTGCAGTCCTTTTTTATGAATTTAATTCATTATTACTATTTCTTTGAATTCGTTAAAACGATTTTAAATCTGTGAAAACAAATATGTTGAATTCATGAAAGAGAATTCTTTAATTTGTTTTAACGAATTAAATTCATTTATTACATTCGTTTAAATAATTTCAAATGTTTGTTATTACAAATTTCATTTGTTTAAACAATTTCCAATTTTTAGGTCACCTGAGTAAACACAGGTGACCTATTGCTATCACTTTTCGTCCGTCATCGTACGTCGGTCGTAAATTTTTGAACATTTTTAGCTTCTTCTATGCAACCACTGAATCAATTTCCACCAAATTTGGTACAAAGCATCTATAGCTAAAGGGGAACAAAAATTATGAATTTCATGACCCCTGCCCCCCTGGGGCCTGAGGGGTGGGGCCAAAACCACTAAAATTAATGCAGTCTTTAAAAATCTTCTTTACTCCTGGACATCAAGCAGTCAAACTGTTTGCATGATTGTAATCAGCATTGAGTCCTCTACCAAAATTGAGAAATTCTTGGCTGGCCCCAGGGTCAGGGGTTCTAGTGCTAGGGTGGGGCTAAAACGAGTATATAGTTTTTCATTGAAAATCTTCTTCTCTGCTCCTGGGTAATAAATAAACTAACTAAGTACATAGTTATGATGAGCAAGAGTGCCTCTACCAAAATTGTGAATTTTATGACCCCAGGGTCAGGGGTTCTGGTGTTAGGATGGGGCTCTATTGATTATATATTGAAAATACATGAATTCTTTGAAAATCTTCTCTGCTCCTGGGTTTTAAATAAACTAATTAAGTACATGGTTATGATGACTAAGAGTGCCTCTTCCAGAATTGTGAATTTCAAGGCCCCAGGGTCAGGGGTTCTGGTGTTAGGGTGGGGCTCTATTGATTATATAGTGAAAATACATGTACATGAATTCTTTGAAAATGTTCTTCTCTGCTCCAGGTTATTAAGCAGATGAACTACTTATATAGTTATGATGAGCAAGAGCCCTTCTTCCAGAATTGTGAATTTCAAGGCCCCATGGTCAGGGTACCATAGATGGGGGGGGGGGGGGGGCTACTCTTATATACTGAAAATGAATTGTTTGAAATCTGCTAGTTTGTATTAATCAAATATTTTTGATAAACAAGGGTGCCTTTTCAAAAATTTTGCAATATGTGGACCTCTAAGGATCAGGGGTTTATGTGTGGTAGGGGCACTACTGATTATTGCCAAATATTACTGATTAGTTGAAATGCATTTTTGTTCCCCTACCTTGCCTATGGGTATTAAGTAACCAAACTAAGCAATTATTACGTATATAGTTATGATTAGCAATTATGGCTTTTTCAAAATTGTGAGTGCCATAGCATCTGGCTTAAAATATGAACCAAATTCAATCACTGGAAAGTTGTTGCATGATACTCAGGTGACCTATAAGGCCCATGGGCCTCTTGTTATTATTAAAAATTTAATTTGTTTAATCAAATTCAGCAATTATGGCCTGTAGAAAAATATATATGTATTCGAAATAAATATTTGTCAGATTCGTTAAAACGCATTTTATTCATTATGACAAATCAAAGAATTTGTTTAAATGGATTCAATTCGTTATAACAAGTTGTTGAATCCCTTAACGAGAGTTTTATTTGTATTAACAATTTTTGAATTCGTTATAACGAAATTAATAAATTTGTTATAACAGATTTAATTCATTATAACGAATTCAACGAAATTGTTAAAATGAATTACATTCGTTATAACCGAGTCGAGAATTCGTTATATCGAATTCAAAAATATTTCTTGATAGGTCTTAAATGAGCTTCCATACAGAACACACCTGTGCCAACATTCAATATGTCTGCGTGGCCAGGTGTGTTATAGGTCCAGTGACATCCAAAAATCTTAATTCAATGCTAAAGTCAAAGGTTGTACAATTTCTAAGGGCAATTTTATGCCCATGGCCCTCTTGTGTATGATCTCGGGGCAGGGTTATGTATCAACGGTATTGCCAATATTATCATTATGTAAAAGATCCTCATTTTAATTCTTCTTCAGTATAAATAGGCAATTCCAGACTTTTTCTTATAGAATCAGATTTTTTCTCTTTTTTAGGTCACCTGAGTCACTCAGGTGACCTACTGCCATCCGTGTTTGTCCATCGGCGTCCGTCGTTCATTGTGTGTTAACATTTGAACATTTTCAGCTTCTTCTCTGAAACTGCTAAACCAATTTCAACCAAATTTTGTATACAGCATCTGTGGGTGAAGGGGAACAAAAATTGTGAATTTCATGGTCCCTGCCCCCCTGGGGCCTGAGGGGTGGGGCCAAAACCACTAAAATTAATGCAATCTTTAAAAATCTTCTTCTTTACTCCTGGACATCAAGCAGTCAAACTGTTTGCATGATTGTAATCAGCAATGAGTCCTCTACCAAAATTGTGAAATTCATGGCCCTGGGGTCAGGGGTTCTAGTGCTAGGGCGGGGCTAAATAAGTAGGTAGTGAAAATGCATTATTTCTTTGAAAATCTTCTTCTCTGCTCCTGGGTATTAAATAAACCAACTAAGTACATAGTTATGATGAGCAAGAGTGCCTCTACCAAAATTGTGAATTTTATGGCCCCAGGGTCAGGGGTTCTGGTGTTAAGGCGGGGCTCTATTGATTATAAAGTGAAAATACATGAATTCTTTGAAAATCTTCTTCTCCGCTCCTGGGTATTAAATAAACCAACTAAGTACATAGTTATGATGAGCAAGAGTGCCTCTACCAAAATTATGAATCTTATGGCCCCAGGATCAGGGTTTCTTGTTTTAGGGTGGGGCTCTAATGATTATACAATGTATAGTGAAATGCATGAATTCTTTGAACATCTTATCCTTTGCTCCTGGTTAATATGCTAATGATCTAATAACGTATTTAAGGCCAGGATTTATTTTATTTTCAGTTTTTACAAACCCTCCGATCAAGGTTTTGAATTCTCAGAAAAAATTTCTTTCCGATGTCAAATTTGAGTCGGGATCGAGAT